GTACCACATCACTCCATCTCTTCTCTAGCCCGTGCCGCGCCGGCTTTGCCCCCTCAATCCGGCCGAACAAAAGCTGTTTCGGCATGCGGTGGCTGGACATACGGGCTACATGACCCAGCCATCGCAGCCTTGCCCGCCGGAGGAGCTCACCGATGGGACCTTGCCCAGATCTTTCAAGGATTTGTGAGCTCCTCACACAATCCAGTCTGGTTAAACCCAGGATGGATCGTAGGCAGGCCAGCCTAAATGTTTCTAACCGGCGAAGATGTTCCATTAGGGGGGTCCACGTTTCGCAAGCGTAGAGAAGGGAGGGAATGACCGTGGCCGAGAAGACCTGAAGCTTAGTGCGGAGCGAGAGACCAGGTAGCTTCCACACAGCGTTACGCAACCGATGAAAAGATATTGCCGCTCGACTGATTCGGAGTGAGACCTCTGCTGTTAAACTGGAGCCAGTCATAAGCACACTGCCCAGGTACGGGAAACTCTCCACTCTCTCCACAACTACCCCATCACCGATCGGGAGTTGTGGGCGTGGAGTGTCCGATGGTACAAAATACCCAGGCATGTGCTTAGTTTTGGTGGGGCTGATGGTAAGGCCCCACCTCTTACCATCAGCCCCACACACACACACACCCACACACACATACCCACACACACACACCCCCACACACACCCACACACACACCCACACACACCCACACACACACCCACACACACCCACACACACCCGCGGTTCAACTGAACCCCTCTGGCGCCTTGGGAGGCCGACGCCAGAGCACCTGGACACACGGATCACTGATGAGCCCCATGCTGGACACAGAGGACAGAGAGAGAGGGCAGAGAGAGAAAGAGGGCAGATAGAGAGAGAGGGCAGAGAGAGAGAGAGGGCAGAGAGAGAGGGCAGAGAGAGAGAGAGCAGAGAGAGAGGGCAGAGAGAGAGAGGGCAGAGAGAGAGGGCAGAAAGAGTGAGGGCAGAGAGAGCAGAGAGAGTGAGACGGCAGAGAAAGAGGGCAGAGAGAGAGGGCAGAGAGAGAGAGGGCAGAGAGAGAAGGCAGAGAGAGGGCAGATAGAGAGGGCAGAGAGAGAGGGCAGAGAGAGAGGGCAGAGAGAGGGCAGAGAGAGAGGGCAGAGAGTGAGAGAGAGAGTGAGAGGGCAAGCGCCCTCTGCTCGCGTGGAATGCGTCTTCAGCACTGCACCTGGGAATCCTTCACGGACGCATGACGTCTCCACAGATGAATACACATATATAAATGCATCTTTATTCTGGTTATGTGTTTTTGAACACAATAGTTCTGGTGATCCGTGCCTACCGCCTGCCACTGTAATGCTGCTGGCTGGGTAAAGCGACGTGGATCTGAGCGACGCCACACATTATTCAGCATCACTTCTTACACCACGCTGCTATAAACACCATCTGGCAATGCCACCTCATGAATTGTTGTATTTGTAAGGAACCATTTTATTAGCCGATTCGAAATCTCACCCCCCCAAAAAGGGACGTATACACTGGCACACGGTCTTGGTGATTTGTGAAATGCACCGTCATTTTGTTTCGAAACGTCGTGAAAATTTTATTGCGTTATTTTATTTTATCAATTTATTATTTTATTCTCATTCTACGTGACTTTACCGAAAGAACCAAAGAAGACGTCATTTTGTTGAGGCTGAAATCATTTCACAATCCACTCGTGCAGATATAGTCTTCATTCCCAGAATTGATCTACCACCGTCTGATGTGAATTTACCATTTGTTTTGAAGCGAAGACGGTTTCAAATCAGCCCTGCATTTGCTATCACTGTCAATAAGTGTACAAGGGCAAACGTTTTGAGTATGTTGGACTTTATCTCCACGAATCTTTTTTTTCCCCATGGACAGCTTCATGACGTTGCTTTGCCAAGGTGCAAAAATCCAACCGACATCAAAGTGCTGATTCAACTCAATTTACACTAAATGTGATATATAGACATTTTAGATTAAATACATTCAATACAGTCTTTTTCATTAAATAAAAATGTGTATGAACTTGAATAGAGTATATACTGGCGCAGTGGTTATCGCGACGCTGCGCTACGAACCCAGCCACCTACGGCCACCAACAGCAGTGACGATTATCTTAACCGGATCTGGGCCTTTCCTAGGTCGACTCAGCCTCAAAATAACAACCTGGTGCGATATGTAAACATCGCCATTGGGGAGAAAAAGGCGGCCGAGCGTGGTGCTGGCCCACCCACCCCCTCGTGTGCCACAGTGCCGGCCTTCGTAGGTGCCGCTACTACTCGCTACTCACAGCACTTGCCCCCACCAGCGTGTTAAGGCTACACGGAGTGCAGGGAACTTTGCCTTGTTACGTGTCGGCTCGGCCATCCCCAATTGCTCACGACGTCCACACGATTGCTCACGACGTCCACACGATTGCGAGCGACACGCTGACAGCTCTAGCAATGAGAGAGAGCTGACTCGGCTCGAAGGGCCGTGAGTTCGAGTCCCGACTGGGGGTTGGTTGACTCGGCTCGCCGCCACGCAATCTCTTCAAGCCATTACCACCTCTAAGCAATCTCGCAATGCAACGATCCATCTTGCTCGTCATTCCATCGCTCCATCTCCTCGGGCGACAACTCGGCCAGGGTGCGCGATCCCTCCCTTGCCTGCCGCTCCGTCTCGAGTCTCTTCCAGCGGGGGGGGGTCTCCGTGGCCTCTGACCGATGTCCTGCCCACGTGGCCCCCCTCACTGGACATGTGACAAAGAGCTTCGTAGGTCATCGGATTCCTCCTCCTGCAGTCTCAATGAAGATTTTGATTCTGACTTCTCCGCACGGCGAACGTGACGAGGGGAGGGGGACTTGGCCCAGCAACGGCGCCTACCAATCCAGTGGGGGGGGGGGGGGTCTCAGTAAGTGCAGGCATCTTTGTTCGAGCGGTGGCGCAGCGGTTGCCCCAGCAGTCTGTGAAAGCTACAAGGGGAATCTCTGCGTCTCAGTCTCTGGGCCTCAACGCGACTCCCCGTGACTCTCTCTCTGTGCACGTCGCTGGTGACCCGGCGGGCTGCGACACTTCAACTCGCTGCACCGGTGCTCCCGGTTTGAGTCGAAAGGTCGCCTTTTTTTTGTTTAAACCGAGGCCGCTTGTTCGCTTCTCGAGAGAAAGGCGGACGGTCAGGGCGCATTCCGTGTGGGGTGTTGGGGGGGGTCCGGAGGAAGGCACCGCAGAGGGACCCGTGGGAGGGGGTGGGGGGGCACTGTCGCCGTTCCACTGCAGGAAGATTTCGCGAGACGTGGATTTTTGTGGATCACGTGACAAGGTGCAAGGCCCCCCACATCCATCACTGAGCCACGCCATTTCAGCAGGTAGGAAAGCCTCCCGCTCAGCTACTGTCATTCTTTTTCAGAAGCGACCTGGCCACCACAAATGATGGCTCAACGAAGTGGCTTGTCACCATCGCGTGGAAATGTTTCGCAGCCCAAACACCCTCGAACGCGTGACGTTGGCTCTAAATGTGGAGGAGAATCCACGGGACCACCGAGAGATCAACACGGAAGCACTCCGTCTCAGGAGGTCCCCGCCTCAATGGGATCTATAGACGAATTATTTTTTAGAGATCCGACACGTTTGTCGATAACGCCGTGGCCTTACAAAATAAAGTGGTATAGAATGCGACGTTTCGGCCAATGGCCTTTATTCATCGCAAGCACAGAAGCCAGAAAGGGCGCACATTAGAATCTTCCTGTACACGGCATCCACGCCGCAGCTTGGCCTCTCCTAGTCTAAACTAAACTATTTTGTATTTATTTTACCGCTGACCTATGTAGCTCCTTTTCAGAAGCGACCTGGCCATAAACGATTTCACAACGAAGTGGCTTATCACGTGGTAATTTCTAGCAGTAGCCAAATACTGTAAACGCGTGACGTTGATTCAAACGGAGGGAAATAACGGAGGACACGGAGAAAAATCCAAGCAACCACGGGAAGAGAGACACGCAAACTACAAATGTAGAGCAGGCGTCAGGGTCAGGATCGATCCCACGACCTCTTGTACACCAGGCGAGGGAGTTAACATCTCCTAGCCACCGTGATGATGAGAGACACGCAAACACCAAATATAGAGCAGGCGTCAGGGTCGGGATCGATCCCACGACCACCTGTAGACCAGGCGAGGTAGTCAACATCTCCTAGCCACCGTGGCGCGCCCCAAGGTAACTCAGCGCGCGAGCGGAAGCGCTGAGGATCGTAACCACGGCAGGGCGGCGGACTCGGTTGTGCAATCGCCGCCCCTGTCACAACAAAGCGCCCGCGGGCCACGCTCGCTACACCGCGCGCGTGGCTATGAATAGCGCGGAATGTGCGCAGCGCGCGCGGGCCGGGCAGGGCCGCGCGTTGACTCGTGCAGGGCGTGGCTCGCGGTCGCCGCCTCCTCCACCTGCCGGGCGCGTGAGCGGCAGGGGCTGTGGGGGGGGGGGCGCGTGAGCGGCAGGGGCTGTGGGGGGCCCAGTGACGACTATCAGAAGCGGTCCTGGGCCGCTTCCCCTAGGTCGACTCAGCCTCAAGAGAATAACCAAGTGCGGTGTGTAAACATCGCCACCGGGGAGACAAAGGCGGCCGTGCGTGGTGCTGGCCACCCCCCCCCCCCCCCGTGTGCCATCCCGGCATTCCTAGGTGCTCGCCAACAGCACTTGCCCCAACAGTCTGTCACGCCGGACCTCTGTCTTTGCTTCTCAGTGTGAGGCCGGGAAAGAAGTTGACACGGATTCGTCAGTCGATTCGTCAGTTGTCACAGTCCGTCAACCCATGGCACCTCGCTGGGTCTGTCCCGGCATCTCCTGCCAGCGAGCCTTACGGCCTCAAAGTACACCTAGCCTGGCACAAAGCGCCGTGGCGACGTCGCCGCCACTCAGTGGCGAATGGCGGCTGCTGTTGTTGTTGTGTACACCTCCAGTTACCCCGCTCCCCGTGTCAACTATTACGTCATCCCAGCCACAATTACTCCCCCCCTCCTCCACCTCCTCCACAATCCTCCCTGCAGCCCACGGGGCCCTACCCCCTCAGCGTCGTCATCGCCACCACAGCCACCTGCGAGCCACAGCGCCACACCCACCGACAGCCCGCGGTTCGGAACAGGTGTAGCAGCAGCAGCAGCACCACAACACACCACCACCACACACCATCATCATCACCACCACACAGGCGCTGCTGCTTCAACGGGCAGGAGAGCGAGCGAGAGATCGAGAGGAACATCCCAGAGTTCGCATTCCAGGCGGCGGAACCTTGAACGAGCAGGTGAGGCAATTGGATCTGCGCTCGTAATAACGGTGACCGGTTTGCTTGCGGTGGTGTACGATCGTCATCATTATTACTCTTTACCATGATTGCGAGTGATACATCGTGATTTACATTCGTAAAGAGACGCGTGTCATCCGTAGGTACCACCAAAGCGCCACCACCGTGTATGGAAAGCGAGGAAATAAACAGAAATTGTAAATGTTGTTGTGGGTTTCCGGCTAGTGCTGAACTAGTTCTTTGTGTACGTGACAAACCTTACTAATTGGCTGTGTCGGGTGGTGGCGGGTTTAACGACGCATTTCTATTTACGCGATCTAACCCACAACAAAACTATTATGGATAACATTGGTCTCGAAAGCCCTACGACTACTCCGAAGTGTTCAGCAGAACCCGTAGGACACACGGCCAGGACTCGTGCGGGGCTAAGGGCCAGTTGACAGAAGTGTGTGTTCGAGACGGCACTTTAGTGACTAGCGAACGACTCCGGTCGTCTTGTTAGCAAAGGCACAACGCGTTGTTCCAAAGCCTTGGGAGCTCGCACTGCCAAAAGTCCGATCGGCCCCGCAGGATGAGACAGCCCTTGACCTCGGAGTGCTGAGAAGACGGCGTTTAATGACGCGCCAGTTTCTAATAATAATGATAGTTTATATATGATCAATAATAGTTTATATTTGTAAGGTGGCGCATTTCATTCGTAGATCCCCACCAATGCACGACCACCGTGTATGGCAAGCGAGGAGATGAACAGAACCAGCAGGGTACACGGCTAGGACTCGTGCGGGGCTAAGGGCCAGTTTGACAGAGGAGAGTTTTCAAGAAGGGACTTTAATATACACGGTACTTCAAAAGCGTTTTTAACACTTGTGAGAATTTACAAGAATACCACAATAAATGTGCAGTCTCCGGGATCTGGAGACCACCTGGAGAAGATTCCTTGCACACGTTAACAATGATGGCGAACAAGTGGAGACTCTTTGACTTTTTAAGCTATTAACTCACATTTGTTATCATGTTACACATTATTATTATCCGTTCTTTTTGTTTTCCATTGAAAACGATAGTCCCATGGAAGTGTTGACATGTTTTTTTGAAGCGCCCTGTATTAAATGACTTCGATCGTCTCTCTCGGCAAAAGCGTTCCAAAGCTTGGCATCTGCGCTGGCAACAGCCCCGATGAGCCTCCCCCAGGAGCAGACGGCCCTTGAGCGCGGAGTGCTGAGAGAAGTCTGCCGATCCGACGATCCCAGTGACCCTCGTTGCTGTAAACAACACCAACAGTGGATCAGTTCCTGTAAAATTCTTCTTGTCACCTCCGCTTGTTCGCTCAGGAAAGCCTCGCTGAGTCTCGTAACTCTTTGTTCATGAGGGCAATGTCAAGTTGTTGTTGTCCAGTAGGGCACGATGCTTTCTGAATGTATATTCTAATTAATCAGGGCAGACGTTGGCTTTGGTATCACGAGCCTTCTCGGCTGCGTCACGACCGCCGTGAGCACGGATGATGGTGATGATTGATTGATGGCAATCGTGATGATGGTGATGATTGATGGCAATCGTCATGATGGTGATGATTGGTGGTAATCGTGATGATGGTGATGATTGATGGCAATCGTGATGATGGTGATAATTGGTGGTAATCGTGATGATAGTGATGATTGATGGCAATCGTGATGATGGTGATGATTGGTGGTAATCGTGATGATGGTGATGATTGATGGCAATCGTGATGATGGTGATGATTGATGGCAATGGTGATGATTGGTGGTAATCGTGATGATTGGTGGCAATCGTGATGATGGTGATGATTGGTGGCAATCGTGATGATGGTGATGATTGATGGCAATCGTGATGATGGTGATTATTGGTGGTAATCGTGATGATGGTGATGATTGATGGCAATCGTGATGATGGTGATGATTGGTGGTAATCGTGATGATGGTAATGATAGTGGTGGTGGAGCGCCGGGCGGCTAAAATGCAACGTTGGCACAGTAGCTGGTGCATCGGCCAGTTATCTCAGCCAGCCAATCCGTGACCTCCTCCAGCCAACGAGGCTTTGACACTTCACGTGGCCTCAAAGTGCACCTGGCCTGGCACGGGCGCCGTGGTGACGAAACCTTAATTAATGGCAAATGGCGATGATAATAACGCCGAAAATGATGATGGCGATGATGATTACAATCCATGAAGACCACTATTAAGATTGCCATTATTATCACCATCATCTTGATCAGTCATCATGATCGAGATGATGGTGATGATTGCGGTGATAATGATAACAATGATTATATCATAGTGATAATGATGATGACAATGATCGTGATGATGGGAATGCTTGGTGATAACTCCGAATATAGATCCGGAATTTAAGATTTACAAAATAATCCAACGTGATCCCATAAATATTTTTCTGTTAATGTCCTTTTAATGGCCCCACGCTGGACTCATCACAGCTAGAGGGCCGCGCTGCACCTCCCGGCCGTGTAGCGCACAGCCTGCTGCTGATGATGATGATCCTGATAATTATGTCCTCACGTGGAGAGGTCCGAGCTCCCGTGTCCCCCACGGGTCCGAGTTTCCCGGTCGTGGTTCACAGAGCGGCCACCGCGGGCAGAATTCCCTCTGCCCAGACACGCCTCGTCCCGTGGAACTTTAGTCGAGTCTCAGTCTTTGTCTTGGTGGTCTTGTTGGTGGAAGTGGTGGTTGGAGGTGGTGAGGGTAGTCGTAGTGGTGATGATGGTGGTCGTGTTGATGGTGGTGACGATTGGGTTGATAAAGATATAATCGGTGATGATGATGAAACAGATGGTGGTGGTGGTGGTGGTGATGATTATACAGATGGTGGTGATGATGACACAGATGGTGGTGGTTATGACACAGATGGTGGTGGTGGTGATGATTATACAGATGGCGATGGTGATTATTGAGTGGTGATGATGAGACTGTGAGAATTGTCTTTTGAGGTCGGTAGCTGAACACGCGACAAACCAGCGGGGTAAACCAACGGAAGGAAGCGATGGCGAGGTCGCGATGACTTCTCGACCTTCACCTTCCATCACCTCGTCCACTGTGTGTGTTTTTATTTATTATTTATCTAAACCTCACGCAGCAGTATCCAGGAGACGAGGGCACCTTTTTTTGTTGCGAAGCAGCGATCGTTGGCTCGGCGGGGATTGTTTTTTTGTTATCTCCGGCGGCTTTGCTTGGCGCTCCCCTGCACCACTGTCGAACTTTGCTCCCCCACCCCCCACACCCATCGCTCGTTCCTGAGCTGTAGCAGAGCCACGTCCACACGCGCCCTCGGCTGCGCAGACAAAGCCCAAGCTCCCGTTGGGGCGCCCAGGAAGGAGGTTTCTGCAGACCATTGCTACGGGGTCGTCATGGATGCTCTGTGGGGTGATGCCGCGTAAATAATCTGGCCACAATTGTGTCGTTTAAACCTCCACCCACCCAGCCACCCACCCAGCCACCAAGCCCCAATGTACGCAGACAACAGAATGAAGCTGATCGTGATCGTTGAGAGCTCTCACGCCGCGAGTGGTGTGAGTTGGGGAGCGACTCTCACTCACCCACTCGCTCACCGTGAGTTAGAGGGCGACCCTCATACCCCCATCCACTCGCTTGGGTTAGGAGAGCGACTCTTACTCACCTACCCACTCGCTCACCACGGGGTTAGGGGGTGAGTTAGCGGGCGACTCTCACAGCGAGACGCCGCCACTCGTGGGCAGCGCTGTGGAGGCGAGCGGCAGGGCTCTGTAGGGGGGGCGCAGGGAGAGACGGGCGGTAGGGAAATGACGCCCGGACATTCGGAGAGAGAACGGAGCGGCGAGTTTCGTGGAAACGACGTGCAAATGTTTTGCAATCCTGGCCCTCTGCCACCTGCAGTGGTCTCGCCCGTGCCTCACGGAAAGACTCGGGCAGTCGCCCTCCAACAACAAAGGAGGGCAGAGGAGCGACACTCACAACCGCGAACGGAGCGCAGGGCGGCTAGAATAGAGCAATATGGCACAGTGGGGGGCACAGCTGGGTGCATCTGTCAGTCATCTCAGTCAGCCAACCCATGGAACCTGCTGGATCTGTCCCGTGACCTCCTGCACCTAGCCTGGCACAGTAGGGGGCACAGCTGGTGGTGCATCTGTCAGTCATCTCAGTCAGCCAACCCATGGCACCTGCTGGGTCTGTCCCGTGGCCTCCTGTCAGCGAGACTTCGACACTTCACGTGGCGGCATGAAAGTGTACCTAGCCTGGCACAGGCGCCGTGGTGAGGTCGCTTCATGGAGAATGGCTTGGTATTGCAGGAGCGGTGGCGCAGTGGTTAACGCGCCGCGCGACGAATCCGGCCTTTCCGAGTTCGATTCCCTGAACCGGTCCTTCCCCTAAGTCGACTCGGCCTCAACTGAGTAGTTGGTGCACTCTGTAGACATCGCCGGCGGAAGGATGCTCGAGAATGTCACGCCTCACAACGCCGTTGGTGCGGTCAAAACGGAGCAGAACCCTTCCGAATAAAAAATATATAAACTCACCTGTGACTTTCGTGGGTAAATAAGTAATCGGTAAGGATGATAAGTGAGATAAATCAATGGGGTGACCACAACTGACCCCTCCGCGCAATGATGTCCGCCTCACGCTCTCAGGTGCGGCAGGGGTGGGGGGGAGATAGCGGCCGTGATGTCTCAGGTCGAGATAAGATCGCCTGTTTGGAGTTTTAGTTTATAAACAGAAGAGGGGCGCACGCTTAGCACGCGCCGAGAGAGCGACAGGAGAGCGCGCGGAACAAGAGCGCTGTGCTGGGCGCAGGGACGCCCCCTGCGGAGACGGAGCGCTGAATTCAGCAGCGAGGTGGATCGTCCACATCGCGGAATTCTTGGCGAGCTCGAAAAGGCTTGTGGGAGGCCTCCAACCTGAGTTTTGAGATATTGCAAAGGACAAATAAATGCACGAGTGCGACTGGACAGGGTCACACGGGGTCCACAGTGGCCCTGCCGCGTTCTCCCAGGCGGC